ATATATATATATATATATATATATATATATATATATATATATATATAATACAATAATTATAATATGCACCTATATTTTTAAGTATTAATGTAGGTAGTGTTTTCGAAATAAAAATTTTAAATATAATGATTACAATTAAAAATATGTGATAAATATTACACTACCTATATGGACAAACATAATATAATTATCAAGGGACTGAAAATAATTTTATAATATAATATAAAAAAACTATTAACCAAAATTACTATTTTATATTAGTAGGAATTTCAGAATAAGTATTTAATCATAAAAGAATATTCTTCTAAATACCAATTACTTCACTATAATAGCATATAATAGATTAATAACTGTGTTATAACTACAAGGTTTTTATTTACATTATATTTATGTTAACTTAATTATTTATACTTACCGAAACAAAAGCCTTCCACGAACTTAACAGGATACAATAACCAGTTATTGGATGGTTCTACAGAATCAATTAACATGTTTTTTGTGACTTTTTGTTTTCTGAGCCATTTACAATAGACAACATTATTTTGATGATAAATCCAATTATTAGGAATGACGGAATATGTATTTTCTTCTTCGAAATAACCCATAAACCACTAAAGTTATTACAAACAAGACAAAATAATGGCATAAAAATTAAAATTAAGTAGGTCCAAGTACTCGTTTTAGTATACAATCATAATTAATATATATATATATATATTATAACTTATAAAGTTATAAATAATAAAATTTGACAAAATATAACGTGTTTATCGGATACTTATATTATACTGTCTATATTTATCATTAGGTAAGTATAGGTTTTATTATTTTTATTGAATAAATGAAGGTATTAACTTAAACACTTACTAATATTAAATTGTAATGAATAAGTTTAAAAAAATAGTAACAATCTCCCGCCTAGATAAATAAAATATAATATTGACCTTTAATGTACTGTATATAATACAGTATATATTTAAATTTCTGTGCATCAATTCATATTCTATGAAAGTGGCATATAGGTACCTACCTAAATAACACTTTTATAAATATATGTTTATACTATAGGTAATACATTAAGTCTAGAATGAATTCAAATATTGTTTGATAAGTAATTAGTACTTACAGTTCTTTGAGGAGTTTCCATTTTAATTTATTATATATTAGTCAGGAGTCAGCTAGGACTTCGGCTATGACATCCGCGTTCGGAAGACAGAGGACATTGAACATTTATTTAACACAGATTAACAATCCAGTAATTGAATATAACCATTATTACAAATTCAATATCACTTCACATAATTAACGATACAAAAATAGACAATTTAATACTATATATAATAATAGGTACGCGTGATATTATCATCGGACTTCCCCGGACTTCCCATATATAATGCCATATATATTAATATATTAATATATCTGGGAATTCCCAGTGTATATAATGTTCAAATGTGATGTTTGGTAATAAATACAGTATTTTTAGTAGTTACATATAACTTTTAAATATGTAACATTTCAACATCACATCCATTCTGTATTTGATATCGATAAGTAATTATTTCGCTGTAACATCTAGATAATAATATTTGAAATAACTGTGCGAAGTTACAAATTAACAAAATTTAGATGTACATTAATTGTAGTCTCGTGGGTATCCACAAAAAGAAATTTTCACCTCTGCGATGACGTAAAGATGTTACACAGAAGTTTTCGTGTAAGTTAACTTATCACTACGCATGAAAGTTAAGATCTTGGAATTGCACAGAGGGAAAGCTTTAATTATATTAATTAATTGTTTAAAATTATAATATGTGTTCGGTTAAGCTAAATTTTTGCTATCCACTAGTTAATCATACAACAGATATGCCGCATAGACCCGTTGCCGTGGTTAGTTACCGAATTAACAAGCCATTACATGTAAAATGTTCTGACATACGTTTGATGGATGTTAACGAATTGTACGCAGGCCCGGATTTATAGAATAATGGGCCCTGGGGCAAATAGTTAAAATGGGCCCCATTAGGCACCAAAAATGTAGCACAATAAATAACCTAAAATATTTTTAAATTGTATAGATGTTATAGATGAAAAAAATTTAAAACAATAATTATTGCAATTATTACACATAATATAATATTTAATATGTTCATAAGTTATTTTTATATTCAACCAAAATAATTATTAAATACTTCATAAAAATTATTTATACATTATGTAGGTACTCTTATTTAAAACATTTTTTTCTTGATTTTTCTCGAGCAAAAGTCAGTATAGTTTCTTGAAAATCAATTGATGGTAACAAATCATGTTCAGAAGATAATATTATAAATGATTTTAAGGATTCTTGAGTCTGACTAGTTCTAAATTTATTTTTTATGCGTGCCAACTTTGAAAATGCCCGTTCAGCAGAACAATTTGCAACAGGAATTGTTAAGTATAATCGAATTGCAATTAAAATATTAGGAAATACATCTTTTATTTTTGTTTCTTCAAACCATTCTAATATTTTATGCACATTTGAAGCATCAAATGGTGGTTTACTGAGATTCCAATACTCTCTAAATTGAACCAACTCATTTTTTATAGAAGGTTCTATGTCATCTTTATACATAGTAATGAAATTGTCCAAGCTTAAGTTAATATCATTATCTGGCTGGATATTTAACTTAGTGATAAATAAAAAATGCTGAGATACATAGTTATATGCAGTTATCCTTTTATCTAATTCTGTTACAAACTTATTTACAATCATGATATGTGTTTCTACTCTAAATTTGTCAATACCTTTTAACTGAGTTGAATTTTGAGATCCACTTGTACACTTTCTTTTAATTTGTCTTTCATTATCTTCATTTTTAAAATGTTTTTTTAATTTTAAACTTAGTTTTGTAGTTTGATTTTCATAAGTGTTATACAAATCTCTTAAACTAGCCACATAATTTTTCAAAGATATAAGTAGGTTAAATGCTTTTAATGGATCAATCATTTTACTTTGGAGTTCAACAGATGTTTTATTGGTCCGTTCTAATATATCATTCCATAAAATAGCCAAATATCCGGTTTCTTTTTTTAATATAGATTTTAATAAAATTTTTGCATCTCGTCTAGTATCACCATTTTCAATATTACTATCGCAAATGAATTCCAATACATTAATAATGGTATTATAATTTTTTATCAAAGCATTGCAAGCATCAAAGTGACTAGACCATCGTGTATTACTTAACGACTTTAATACACTTAGTTGATTTTTACTATTTTTTTCTAATTTTTCTGTTAAAATTTTCCAACAATGTATAGAACAACTAAAAAAATTGTATAACATTTGAACAAATCCAAAAAAACTCACAGCTTCAATGCAACAATCTACACTATACACACCAACTAAATTAAAAGAGTGGGCAGTACATGGAATATAGACAGCTAAATTATTTTTATCTTTCACATAACTTTGTAAACCTTCATACTTGCCGCTCATATTATCAGCATTGTCGTAGGACTACTACTACTACAACTAGTCGTTCGTTGACACTAGTTGGTGTACAATATCTTAGAACTATGGCCATTTGATCAGTTTTGGATAAATCAGGTGTGGAATCCATTATGATTGAATAATACTTGGCTTCTTTTATTTGTGTTATAATAAGATTAGTAAGATCTGTATTCATTTGATTAATTATTTCGTTGCAAATAGTTTTTGAAAGGTATGATGGATGTTCACTACCTTTGTTACCGTGCATTTCAATATGATTTTTTAAAAAAGGATCATGTTCTGAAATAAGTTCTAAAATACCCAAATAATTACCATTATTATTTACACCGAAGACTTCTTTATCATCTCTAAATGGTAAGCCTCTTGAAGCAAGAAACTTGATTACAGAAATTACACGCTTTAATACTTCTTGCTAATATTCAGGAGCAGAATCACATTTTACAGGTATTTGTAATTCTGCCTCATTTGCAGTTGAATCAATTTTATCATTATTAACTGAAAATTGTTAAAACAATGAATAATACACTTATATAGATATATATATAGGTAAAAACAATGGACTAGAAAATCAACACTGTACTATATTATACATATATAATTAATATTATATTATAGATATTGCTTAAAAATTTAAAATAGGTATAACTTACTTGGTAATAAATCGCAATTATTACTATTAAAATATCCAGTTATCTTTGGCAATGCAGCAGTCAATTCATTTTTTTTTCTTTTAGTTTCCTTTTTTGATATCCACTCATGTATTTTACAAATTAAAAATATGAAATAAAAAAATTCGTATAGCCCGTACAGATAATTAAATGTTGATGTGTCTAATATCTATGAGCTTATGCGTACTCTTGTCATTTGATAGAATAAGAAGTACACAACAAAAGTACAACACTCATAAGACGTAGGTACCAATAATCACGAAATAAAAAAATAACACAATAAGTATTATTATTAGTTATCATGCATTATTCTGTCAGAGTAATCACTATAGTGGCATTTTCCACACGCGCTACAAGGCTCAACAATCTATAAATAGATTATATACAATAAAAACTCGAATTCATAATAAATTAATAACAAAACTATTGATATATCTTATCGGTTATCAAACTCAACCATCTAGAATAGAAATACACACTGTCATATCTGTAATTTCTTTATTCTGTGGTAATAGTGAAATACTGTAAATACCACAAAAACGTCAAAAACATATTTAAACTTAATTATTTAATATTATACGATATAATTATTTTTAATACCTAATTTAATTTTTTGTGACAATGATATTTAGAATTCTTAATTTTTGTCCGGGGGGGGGGGGGGGGGCTATAACATTGTGGGCCCTGGGGACGCGACCCCTCTGCCCACCCCCCCTTAGTCCGGACCTGATTGTACGAATCACGGAAGATTATTGTTCGCGCTTTAGATACACAAAGATACCATGGTGAATCTATTGTAATCGATCAGTATATATTGTTACGTGCCAACCGTTTGATCCGTTAACTCAGTTACAACGTCTCAGTCAACGCTTGTGTGGAAGTGTAGTCAGGAATAATTAAGACTTTTTTTTAAAATAATTAAATTTATTTAACTTATAAAAATTATTCTAACTACAAAT